CTGAGCGCGCTGCTGCGCGAGGAGCGAGCCGGCACGACGCACCTCTACCTGCTGCAAGGTGAGCCAGGTCGCGGGAGCCTCCGAGGGGAGCGTGCGGTTGTGCGAGTCCTGACCGGAGGAACGGGGAGGGCAGGGACTTTTAAGGGCCAGAAATGAAAGGCTGGGAACAAGAAGGAAAGGAGGACTTCAAGGGGGCTGGGTGGGATTATTCTCCATCCTCTGGAGATAATATTATTGGGCAGTGATAACCAATATCTGACAATATTGTTGGTAAGAATATCCTACCGTTAACTGACTTTTGTTTGGAACCCTTCAATGTGCTGCCTTTGTTTTTACACACACAGGCCAGATTCACACAACACACTAAACCCTAAACCAGGGTTAACCACACATTGTGCCATGGGTTCACATAACACATCATGCCTAGACAGGCAACTCTGGTTTGGCTGCTGGGAACAAACCAGCTCAGATGATGGGTTGGTCCCTCACTGTCTGAACCTCAAAGTACCCAGGTGTATTGTAGACGAGTAGGACAAGTTGTGTGAACTCAGCCTTTCTCACAGGCACCTTCAAGGAAAGATAGAACGGGGGTGATCTGCTGGGGGCTGGTGATGGTAGGACTTGGTCTCTCCTTTAAGGGTGAGAAATTCTTGCAGAACCAAAGCATAATGGTTATCAGGGTTGTCCACATGGTCAAAAAAGTCAAGATGGCAGCTGCGGTGGTGTGATGAATGTCCCACTCGGTTTTTATGTGTGTCACAGCTTCAATTGTACCATCATGGTTGTCAACTTGACTTTTTTTGACCATTCTGTACTGTGCGGACACCCTGATGGTTATATTAACTTAGCTATCCTACCATACCTATTTTAGAAGTTTCCAAATTTGGCTGACCCGTGAAATATTTTCCATTAGACCCTTGCTTCAGGTTTGGTTTTCTTATAAGCATCTATTGCTCCTGTAAACTTTTGAGTCAGCAGCATCTTCAATTACGGTGATGTGCAGGTTTTCATTATCTTCCGATCATAAATGGATTTCGCATTGTGTGGAACCTCCTTAAAGGCATGGACGCCCAATCTCAGCAAAAGTGGAGTAGCAGGGCCAGATTTCAGGCAGACATGTTTCATTCTGATTTCCAAGGAGACTTCTGCTGGATCTTGTAGTAGGAATTAAACTGGATTTGTGATCCTTTTGCCTAGATCTGTACTTTGGGGCATCTGCAGGGGTTCTTCCACAATCAAACAGAGGTGTAAATTACTGCACACCGTTTCAGTCTCACAATGGTGTGCTGGTCACAGGTTTTGTGTCTTGTGTCATCCCTCGATCCTTCCTCTATGAAGTGTGGAAGTCAATTCCTTAGGCCCAAAGTACACATGTGAAGAACAACACACCCCAGCACTCTTTGTGCTACCCTAAAATGTTTTTGCTTCTACTCCGTTGGTCAGAGCATTTGCTGTGGCCTATCCTTGTAACTACTGAAGGATATAAAACTGCACTTTGACATTAAAAAAAAAAAAAATCTGAGTCTTTCCACCAGCAAAGCTTAGTCATTCAGAATAAACTGAAGGCTTCCTCCAGCAAAGTCTTACGCTTTTAGGTGTGAACAAAGGATGTCCTGCTTACAGCTAACCAGGTTTTCCATAATGAAGAGAATAGCCCGGGAGGGTGCTATTACACGCTGTTTCCCAACTAAACAGCCCTCTTCCTTCCAATGTCTCTCATTTAGGTGGCTTTGAAGACTTCCAAGCCAACTTCCCAGAACTGTGTGCAGTGGCACCACCTCTCCTGGCGCCTTCCCCAGCCTTGAGAAGCCCTGAAGACAGTGGCCCAGAAGTGGTGACTCCCTTGTATGACCAGGTAGGCTCCTGAACTGGGAAGGTGTAGACCAAACGGGTAAGGAGAAGCTGAAGACCAGCTGACACACCTGTAATTCCCCAAGCAAATATTTTTAAAAATTAATATTCTGGACTCCTTAATTAAATTGTCTAGACTTCACTAGGTGAGTAATCCCTGGTGAAATGATTGCTCACACGGTGGAATACAGTTGCCACGGAAGAAGGGTGATATTTATTTAACTTTATTTGTCCACCCTTTCCTTAAGGCTTGGAGCTGGTCAGAACCAGAGCTTGGATTTTAGCTGTCACATCTCACAATCCTTTTAAATCAATTAATTATGCTTTAATTGCCTGTTGCAACAGTCTCCATGCAGGAGTGTCTTGGAGGTAACCAAGGGGGTATGAAGGTTTGCCTCTTCATGTTTCCTCCTTCATGGCCTAATTGCAGGATATACCAGAACCAAAATATTTATTAGAAAAATAAAAGTCCCTTTAATTCTCAGCTGTCATCTATTCATTAATTAAATCTCCAGTTAATGAATTGTGTTACTAAACTCAGCTGCCCTAAATAGTAACACTTCCTCCTCCTCCTTCTAACATTTTGAGGTTCTTCTTCTCATTTTGCTGAATGGGGAATTATGGCAAGTTGACCATGATCTGCAACAATTCATCTACTCAAGAGTTCTTCAGGGTTTTTTTGAATCTTACATTCATGCCACATACAAAAACGAGCTTCATTTGTAGCCCTGTGTTTCCTATTTGGAAGTAAGACCCAACTGTATATGATATGACCATGTGTCTTATTTGACATCCGTAAAGCTGCACTGAAGGGCTGTAGACTTAAATCTAGTGTAACCATGGTTCATTCAGAAGAATTGCTTGACTGTGTAAAGATGGCCTCTGGGCAGATCTTCCCCTAGTCTTCCCCTGGATATGATGAATAGAGGTTTTACTTTTATGTTTCTCCTGCCAACTGGTTCATGCATTACACTGTAAACCATGACTTGCTTCACATGGTGGGGCTAAACCACAACTCTCTACATTTGCATATTGAACTAAGCCATGAGCCATGATTTACAATCCCAGTGGTTAGATTCACACAGCAGAAGTAAAAGTGAATCAATCACATGATGGCTTAGCCCACCAAGTGGATCCTATGGCTCTTGGGGATGTCAGTGAAGAATTCTGCAGGAGGAAGGTCCCAACTGCTCCCCAGCTTCCCAGAGACAGCTGGGAAAACTGCTTGAAACTCTTGAAACATGCTATTAGTCAGGGTTGAAACCCTGGAGCTAGATAGGCCAATGGTCTGAGAGTTGAAAAAGCACATGGTAGAGAGAGGAGAATGAAGCCTGAGAAAAACGGTTCTTCTTGGCCCTCTCGCAGCTGCTGTTCAACACTTCTGTGCATGATTCATACAAATTCTGTCTTCATCTAATTAACGGACACAAAGGCTGAACCACGTTCTCTGGATCTTCTTTTTTCAGGATGGACCTGTGGAGATCCTACCCTTCCTTTACTTGGGTAGCTGTCACCATTCCTCCAACAGGGAGGTGCTGGAGTCACTGGGAATCACAGCGGTCCTTAACGTCTCTTCCAGTTGTCCCAACTACTTTGAAGGACACTTCCTGTACAAAAGCATCCCAGTAGAAGACAATCACATGGCTGATATCAGCGTTTGGTTCCAGGAAGCCATTGATTTCATTGGTAAGTGCCATAAGCCAGGGAAACCATTGTTCCTGTATAACCTGGGACAGAGTGGACAATTTTGGAGGGCTGTAACTCAGCCTCTTGGCCTTCTGAAGAATGCCAGGCGTCCATTTGCTGATATGGTGAAGTCACTGGAAGAAATGAGTCTGAATTAGTTGGTCCATTTTGATCTTTCAGATGGAGGGGGTAAAGACGGGGATAATAATAGGAAGCTTTCCAGAAGCAAACCATCCCCATTGCCATAATTAAATCACTCTAAATCTTAAAAAACCAATGGAAATCACGCTGCTGGAATTTGGCCATTTTTGCCACCAAATATTGATGATGTGATCTTGAAGGTGGATCCTAGTGACATGCTGGCGGGGGGGGGGTGCATCTTCAGGATGCTGGTAGCGCATTGCTGTCCTAAGAATATCTGCAGATAACTAAACTATCTTGAGGTCTCTTTGGGTTGTCAATATATTACACTGTCCAGTGGAACAGAGGACTTTGTCATGCATGAAATGTGATACAATAGCAACCCATATCCAACTCAAGTTACATAGTGAAGTCCAACCTCAGCTTGGCCAGCTTGTTCTTCTTAAAGATGAGACCAGAGCTTTGGACCCATTTATGGAGGTTGTGTCTTCAGGAGAGCTGAAACAGCTAAAAATGGAGCTTTGCGCATACAGAGGCAGTTAAACTTCAGGATCCAGTTTGTTGCAGGGCAGTTGGAGAGATAGAAGCTCCTGCATCTTCTTTGTGAACTTTATGGAACAGCTGGTGATCTGAGAAAGATCCTTGCCTGATCTACCAAGGTGACTTTTAACATGAGAAGCTATTTCCTTGGTCAAATGTGGGCAGAAAGCTTGCCTTTGCCATCCTTCCAAGCATTACGCCTGCCGGGTGGGACCGTAAGACCTTATCACCCCCATTCTGTGCTACCAAAAATGACCCAAGGGTTTTTTAGGCATGGTGGTTTCCTATAGCAAGGACTGTCTTCCCCACCTCTGATATTCTCCTCCTCCCTTGTTCTCTCTGCAGACTCTGTGAAGACCAGTGGTGGGCATGTGCTGGTACACTGCCAAGCTGGCATTTCCCGCTCAGCCACCATCTGCCTTGCTTACCTGATCCAGAGCCGCCGGGTGCGCCTGGAAGAAGCCTTTGATTTCATCAAGCAGCGCCGGGGGGTCATCTCACCCAATTTCGGCTTCATGGGACAGCTGTTGCAGTTTGAGACAGAGGTGCTGTGCCACTAGCCGGGCAGCTCCTGGCTGTTCTGCAGAGAAGGAGGCCACCCTGCTTCTACGGACCACAGACTGGGGGGCCATTCCTGTTTACATCCCTGATGGGGGCCATGAGCTGGGCAATGGTGTCCTCCTTTTTCTTCTATTGCACTCATTGGTCGCAACGAATTCCCAAAGAGGAAGGGAGTTTTGGCCACCCGCTGGACTTCTCCTCTTTGCTGTGTGAAATTGCCGTGATGACTTTTTTCATTACTATGAAAGACAAAGAGAATAAGCTGGAAATGAAGAGAAATGAAATGTGAGATGAGCAGGTTCAGCACCATCAGAAGCAACTGCTCAGCCCCTTTGGTGAACCGTTTTCAAGCCTGTTCTTCCTGCCTAAGAGAGCCAAATGTTATTTATTTTTACTTCGTCCAAGTGAATCTCATTGACTGCTAGTCGATGCTTTGCCTCAGTGGACTAAACCAGGGGGTCTCCCTCTGGGGTCCTCCAGACTTGGCACAGTACAACTCTTTCTAGCCAGGGGACTAATCCTGGGTGTATTGAGGTGTAGTCCAATGTCCTCGGAGTGCTTCCAGTTACAGACCAAAATCGCCACATTTTTTAAAAAGTCACTATATATATATATATAAAAAAAAATCAGTGAAAACAGTGGTTCAGATTGCTGATAGTCTTATGAGTTTGATGGTGGGAGGAGGTTCAGATTACTGTACAGCTGAATTTGTTCCTTGCCCAAAGCCAACGTTCTGCTTTGTTGTTGGTCATCAATTACCATGGTAGGCCATTACGTTGGGCAGCAGTAATATCAACATGCAAATGTCCCTTTTTAAAGTGACATATGTTGTATTTTTTAATGATGTTGATCCCTAAAGGTTTATTTGTGTTAAAACTAGTCTCAGTCTGAAAAGACTGACATTTACCTGGGAGCCCCTGCTAGTTCCTCTAAGGAGGAGATGTCTAAATGAGGAATAGCATCATCTAGCTAAGGAATACCATTTTACTCCCTTCTCTGCTAGACATCTTAGTGTCTTGGTTAGCTGTAGGAATGGGGGCTCCCTTCGCATTTCTTATGGCCTTCTGGCATAAAAAGAAGTCAAGGAATCCCACTGAAGCCGTGAAGACTGAAGTGATCTGAGCAACAGGCGAGCTTGCTCCTTAGAGAGTAAACGCACGGCTAGTTAGGCATCTCCCTCTGACTGTCTTCAGTTGGCTGCAGGATGCTAAGCCCTAAACCCTGGATTGGAAATCTCAATAGCTGAGTTCACACAACATGCTTGGGCACACCAAAATCGCATTAGTGCCACGTGTGAAACCTGCCATGGTTTCCCAGCCCAAATAGCATAGTCTGGCACCTTCCAGTCTGTAGCCTAGTACAGATCAGCCAGCAACTGACAAGCACCATCTGCAATGGATACAGCTATTCCTACATGTTGGAGGACAGAATTGTGTTTCTGGGATGAAGGTTGGCTTCACCATCTGTAAAGTGAAGGGGGAGAATCCAGGGTCCTTCTTCCCCTTGAGCAGAACCATCCTGGGGGTCAGGAGCAGTGGGGGACTGTTCTCTTCCTCCTCCTTCCTTCCTCTCTCCTCCAACTCAATACTCAGTTGTTGCTCCATGTATGTGCTATTAGGAGAACCTCTTTCTTGACAGACATTGATTTTAAAATGTCTTCTGCACTTTATATTTATTATCACCTGTTGCAATAAACAACCACTTTTTATATGGCGGGATGTGTCTCTTGAAATGGTTGCTTGGTTGGGGAAATGGTCTTTTATTTATTACCTGGATGGTTAGTGACAGCTTGTCCTGGGCATGCGTAAGAGGAGTGTCCACGGGGTATGGTCAAAAAAATCGATGGTGGCAGCAATGGTATCATCAAAGCTCCACCTGTTCAGGAACTTCCAACTCTAAGCATCCCCTTGTATTTATGAATACAATAATGTAGACTGTGTTTGTGCAACACTCTAAGCCATAGTTTGCTTAACCTCAGTTGAATAAACCACATTACTCAGTTCACACAACATACTGTGTTAAACTATGTTAGGGCCACAATTTTGAAATCCTTATTGAAGAGCCCCCTAGAGAACTCTCAGTATCTTTAATGGCCCAGATAGCAGCAAACCACAATGATTTCAAAATAACGATGCACACAATGAGGTCATTGCTTAAGATGCCATTATTATGTACTTGTGGTCTGGCACAAATATCTAAGTGGTAGCCTTTGGGTGACATCACTCACATTTTGTTGTTTCCCCCCCCCCCCCCAACCAACACAGCCTCCCTTGACTTGATGGAACTTGAGGAGCTGCCTTTTGTCAGTGGGATTCACACACTAAATCATGGTTTATTTAACAAGCCATAATGACCCCGTTCACACATAATAGCCCATAAACTGTGGTTAATTAATCAGAATGACTGGGGCTACAAAACACCAACACTCAACACATTTCATTATGCAGTAGATTGAAACCCAAGGCATGCAATCTGAGCTCCTCTGAAGACGTCCCTGCCTTCTTTGAGCCTCTTCTGCATTCCCCCACCCAAGCACACCTGTGGCTAGATGGAGCACTGCCTTCTGGTTCACTGCCTTGGTGCTTTGGAAGCACTGAACTGTGTTAGGTGGGGAGGCCGCAGGACCATCCCTGCGGTGGACAGATTCTGCAAGAGGACGGTGGAAAATGATGGCCCTTCTCCTCTTCCTGTTGGCTGACCTGGAGCTCAGCTGAGGCTGGCCTGGAGCTCAGCTGACCTCTGAGTGGTGTGGATCTTCAGTCTCTGGAAGCCAGCAACTCACCTTCTCTGAGTTCTTTCTCTACCCAGTGGTGTCCCTCTGGACTGAGATCCAAGACACCTTGTGTCGAGAGCACGAAGAACTAATGAACATTTCGTTGAGGGATAGAGCCATCTAATTCTCCTTGCTTATGACCAAGAGGACCACACAGAAGATGCAGCCAACCCCTGGCCCCAGTTGATCCAGTGGAGAGCGCAACACTCAAGCTCTGGTGCTCAGCAGCTGTGGGCCTCCTGTCTTGCTACCCCTCACCATTGCAGGAGGTTCAAGCCTGAGTCA